GAACAAGGAGAAGTAAGACTTCGGTAAATATACGCTGGAGCTCGTACGACATTCATAATCGTATACTGTAAGCCTTTTACATGATTAACCTTAAATATACGGATCATCAAAGGTATCGAGCGAAGCGATATTTCATAGATTCAACTAATTGTAATCGCTTACGATTCTTTTTCAAAACTGTTTAAAAATAACAATTTAGTCGTTTTAAATTAAAAAACAAACATTATCGTTATATTGTTGTATACATTTTACTTAGGCGGGGAGGGGGCACTTGACATTCGGGAAGGGGGGCGATACTGCCTCTCCCACCATCCCGGAGGGATGCCTGAAAGAAAGACTGAAACCAGTGAACACACAATAACGTGTATCGCTTACCTGACTATAGACGCCAACACAACTGTTTCCACCTTCGATTGCCATCAGAGTTGGAATGGGGGAACTCACTGGACTCCTTTATCGTGGCCACCTGGCAGTTATAATACTTTACAAACAGATTAAGGGCTTCCTTATCGCCCAGCTACCAGGTTTCTTCTGCAGCTTCTCCAAGTTTTCCTTCAATTTATCACGTAAATTGCTGAGCCATCTTCGTCGGCTGCTCTGTTTAGAATCCTGCAGACGGACCAAAGGCTGCAAGGAGGAGGGGACCCAAGGTTCTTGCGAGTTTCCGCCAGACCTTGACCGCAATTATACATCATTTGGTGGCCATATGTAGTGTTCTGTTTATGGTACTTGTAAAACTTATCCTTGGCTTTGAGACCATGTGGTGGCTGATGGTCAGAAAGTAATGTCTTAGGGACCCTTCGGGTGGATTTCAAGTTACACCTACATTTTTGCAAACGCCTTGATCGTGACAATGTCAAGGATTGCATTCCAGCCAGCCCGCCTTCACTACTTACATTGATTACATAACTTGCATTGATTACATAGCTTGCATTGATTCCATATCTTGCATTGATTCCATAACTTGCCTTGATTACATAGCTTACATTGATTCCATAACTGGCATTGATTAAATAACTTGCATTGATTCCATAACTTGCATTGATTCCATAACTTACATTGATTCCATAACTTACATTGATTCCATAACTTGCATTGATTACATAGCTTGCATTGATTCCATAACTTACATTGATTCCATAACTTGCATTGATTCCATAACTTACATCGATTACAGAGTTTGTCATTCGGATAATATGAAGTGAGCCCATGGATAGCAATGATTAAGTTGGGTGGTCATAATGTAAGGTATGAAAGACACTTAAACACGATCAAGTCAAATTTAATGGATGTTACGTGGTAAAATATAATGTTACATTTTGGTAGAAGTTGTGAACATGTCCAAGATGGCGTCTGCTATTGACTTGAGTATTTACATTATACAAATAGCAAGCATTTTGCTTCTGAGAGTATCAATCATATTTTAATTGCGTCATATTACTTCCTCTTCTACTTCTATATCTTAGGTGCCCAAGATCAACATATTGATCAATCTTGATCCTATTTATGTAGAGGGGATTTGCAATGTTTATTTGTGCCTGGTATTGAAGAGGATAATTCACTGGTTGCGAGATATAATAATAAAAATATAGGTTGACTTCTTGGGGTGCTTCAATGAATTATTGTTGGCCAATACCGCCACCCAAAACTGGTTATTTGAAAGAAAGTCCGAGATATAGCTTTAAACCAGGGTTGCGTTCTCTTAGTTCACGGTAGATTTAGGTACGCCCGTGCAATGTTGGGAACTGAATAATGATCTGCTAAGTGTTCAGGAAAATGTGTTACAAAAGTAGCACATGTAATCATTTAAAGAAAACACAGACGCATTCGACTTAAAATAATAATTGGTGAAACGTGTAATACTTGTATCATCATCATCATCATCATCATCATCATCATCATCATCATCATCATCATCATCATCATCATCATCATCATCATCATCATCATCATCATCATCATCATCATCATCATCATCATCATCATCATCATCATCATCATCATCATCATCATCATCATCATCATCATCATCATCATCATCATCATCATCATCATCATCATCATCATCATCATCATCATCATCATCATCATCATCATCATCATCATCATCATCATCATCATCATCATCATCATCATCATCATCATCATCATCATCATCATCATCATCATCATCATCATCATCATCATCATCATCATCATCATCATCATCATCATCATCATCATCATCATCATCATCATCATCATCATCATCATCATCATCATCATCATCATCATCATCATCATCATCATCATCATCATCATCATCATCATCATCATCATCATCATCATCATCATCATCATNTAGTGGTGTGTTGATGCTACAAAATTTTTTAGTAATGTTTTAATATAGTTTTAATTTACTGTAGCGTATTTGTATGGTGAACGAACGGACAGGGCATCAGCTTAGTTACTTTCTCTTTATTTTCTCTTTACTTTAATACATTTTTGTCTATTTTTGTCTAAATTTTTTTTATCCAATCAATCCAGGGGGGGGGGTGGCAAGTGTCCCACCTTCCTCCTACCTGCGGGCGCCCATGGCAGGAACTCTATTAAAATTATAGACCTTTATATTGATGAAAAGGTAGTTTAATGCCGTTTAATACCATGTTATTAAAGTCTTTAAACTAGTGAAGCTGTAAAAAATAATTAAATAAAAATACTGATATAAGCGAACAACAAAAGGTATCATTTTGACTTTTTACAAGCAGCCGATTTTCGGCACAGTATGATACTAATAACAGAATAGTGCAACAAGATTAGCCTTAAAAACTATACATTTAACCTAATATATTTAGCGTAACGATACTTCATAAGTTCAACTAAATTGTAATCGGTCAAGGCAACAGATATTTTTTAATAACAATTTAGTGGTTTCTTTAAAAAAAATATTTTTGTTTTATAGTTGTACAGATTTGTTTCCGGGGGAACGGGGCACTTGGCTTAATCGGAAAAGCGGGGGGGGGGGGG